TCGCTTGATTCGCCACGCTCGCCGGGTTCACCGGGGAGTATAGGGAGTCCGGGGAAGAAGAGGAAGAAGAAGGGTGGTGGTGGAGGAAATGGACATGGGGGTGGCCTTGCAAATGGAGGTGCGAACGGAGGACAGGGGAAGAAGAAGAGGAGTCCTCTTAGAAGGAGTCATAGTAACTTTGATGGGGCAGGTGGGAGTGGGGAGTGATGTCTGGAACCTGACGGGCGCACGATATTCTTTGGTATTCAAGAAGAGCGAATTGGTTTTGCATCGTTGGCGCATAGGGATGATAGCGTTTGTATTAGCATTGCGATACCTCACTCGAAGCAGAGATTGAGATGGTGTATATAGTGGTGATTGGATATACATGTCGTCACACACTCATCCCCTCGCACATGTTCATGATACTCCACACCTTTGTCACATCTTCACGCCTTAACAACATTTTCCATCCCATCTCACATCAAACTCCTTCCTAATCAAGTAACTTGTCAACAACCGTGGATCGCGGTTTCACTCTCCCACACTCCAACCACTCCGTACGCCTTCTCCTACTTACTTTCCAACGCAGATGCGCATGTCTATACTTCTGGTATATGTACATCGGCTACTCCAAATTCATTGACAATTCACGACATCCAGAACTTGGAACTCTATATAGATTGGATTGCTATAGCGTCGAGCGGTTTGAATAGTAGATAAAAGGGAGTTGGTGGTCGTGGTGTAGGTTTGGGTGTTGCCTAATCGGGCAAGTAGTAGAAAAGTGTGGATGATGGTGATCTCCCATGGGCGCACTGGGCGCGCTGGGAGTGAGATGGGAGCGACCTGGGCGAGCCGGGCGAGCCGGGCGTACTGGGCGGGTGGTGCGAACGGTGCGAATCTCGCGAACGCCGCGTCTTGAGCGAACCGCGCGAACATGGCAGACCTCGCGAACTGTGCAGACTGCGCGAATCTGGCGGCCTGCGCGACCACGGCGACGACAGCTACCCCAGCGAGCAGCGCAGCCAGGGCGGACATGGCAAGCCTCGCGTCGGCGACGACAAGGTCGAGCAGGGCGACCATGGCGCGCAGGAGCACGAAGACACCTCGCTAGAATCTACACCTGCTGGAAACCTTCCTAATCGGGTAATTTGAATGAGGTTTGCAGGGGATGGGAGGTTTGTTGTGCTGGAGGGTTGGGGTGAAATTCTTGGATCTAGTGTTCTGTATCTTTGAACGGATAGCCAACGTAATTGTAGAGGTAGTCGGAAGCTAGATTAGGTAGGTGTGGATAGTAGGTGTATATTGTCTACCAAGATGTCGCCGCGCCTACGACCTCCAGATACATCACCATCTACAGTCCTGATCAGGCAGGTTCTCTGTAGAGTGTGGATCACAGCAACTTTCACAACCCTCCTACCACCAGCACCGTTGTCGTCTGAGCCTGGTTCTCAGAGGGTTTAGATGTTGGTGTTGCGCGTTGTCTGACGTACAGGCCGAATTGGGTAGGTTATCAAAAGCCGTCGATTGCGCCGTCTGCAGAGTTACCACAGGCCCTCGTCGTCTGGACTTGCCAAGACAGCAAAAGGTCGCCCGCGCTAGAAATTGCAGTGCAGTCAAAATTCTTTCCTATAATGACCAACAACGTGGCCATAGCCCAGACTCTGCAAGCAGCCGCTTTCGTACGCACATCTGCCTTCCTGTCTGCTATCGCACGACAAGGCTGAGAGGCAGCCTCGTCGTTCTGACTGCTCGCCTGCGCTAGAGATTGCAGTGCACTACCAAAAAGGGTCGACAGCAACAATGCCGCCCTATCATCAGATTATGCAGACATCTGCCTTGCTGCCGAACAGAGCTAAGGACCAGCCTTGTTGTTCCACTTACTCTCCCATGCCAAAGATTGCAGTGCAGTCGGAAGTGCACCACATCTGCCGCTGGCCGCTCAGGGCACCCACTCGCTTACTCCTCTTCTACGCTAGAGATTGCAGTGCAGCAACCGGTTAACGAAAACAGGCTTGCATTAAACACAGCCTGCGCCGTCCTGCTACACGCCATCCTTCCAACCGCGTAAGCCCGGTCTCCAGCTTGAGCTTTACCTGTTCTCCAATGCGAAATATTACAATGCATCCGTAGGTAGGCGGCGTAAGGACATAGGTACCCACAACGTCGTCTATACACTCCATTCGTTTGCTTACTTCCTCTTCTAAGCTTGAGATTGCAGTGCACCGGCACTAGATCGAGCTGCATCCTCAATGACCTCAATATCTTTACTCCAATCGTTCAGTCACTGGCTCTTCTACGCCAATAATTGCAGTGCAGTTCTCGATTGAGACCATTTCCAAGGTTCCTTTGAACGGATAGCGCGATCGTGTGCTCACGTAAGGCTGGTCTTCAGCCTTGCAAGGTTCCCTCTAGCTACTCTTCTGCGCTAGAGATTGCAGTGCAGTGAGGCGGCGACGATAGAGTCGCGCGTCTTCCATACAGGTCACCCTTTCGCTTACCTCGTCTTTTTAGCTAGAAATTGCAGTGCACTCCGCAACGTGCATGGTCGGATACGATGTAGACTTGAGTTAAGCATAGGCTGCGCACCCTTCCACGTACGCACATCTTCCGTCCCATCGCGCAAGGCTCGTCTTCAGCCTTACTTCTACCTGCGCTTCTACGCTAGAGATTTCAGTGCAGCCGTAGCGGCGAATGTGCCCGAACATGGTCCAGACACCCTTCCCAGTCGCTGACTTCCTCTCCTACGCTAAGAGTTGCAGTACAGTGGGTAGGATGTTTCCTCACGCCGGGATCTAGACGACAACACAGCCAATAGCATATGCATCATCAGCAGCCTGCGTCCCTAGTTGCGAGTTCTGGACTGCGCACCCTTACTCCTACTTATCTCGTCTAGTTCCCTCACAAGGCTGAGATCCAGCCTCGCACGTTTCGTTCAATTGTTCTTCCGTGCTAAAGATTGCAGTGCAAACAGGATGGGGCCAAAACTGTCCAAGCGAAGGATCACATAAAATCTGCCGAGATTTCTCGTTGCTGACCAGCCACTAGGATGAGCATCGCCATACGGATAGTACAAAGTGTCGAACATCGTAACAAACTTCCAAGGACGCTGCCGAAAAAGCACTTCTACAACCAGGATAAACATATCAACGCATTCTCCAATATATATAAGTTAGAGATATAGCGGGCGCCGAACAAGTGTGCGTCGATGTTATACCTGGAGAGTAGAGCTGGCTTGGTCGATCACTCTTTGTCTACATCTTCAGCCTCATCATACCAGCTTTGTCATCTTACAGCGCGTTGGCGCTCGGAATTGCGGTGCACCCTCGCCTCTCCGGTTTTATCTTTCCTAGTATACACAGGCACGAGGCTCGCATGCACACAGCCACATAACTCTGCTCGTCCACGCTAAACATTGCAGTGCAATGGCCTTACACCCCCTGCGTTCAGGGGTATCTTTATACAGTGCCCCTCGAGACGCCGCTTTACTTTAAGACCGCTTACCCTTTCACATCAAACATTGCAGTGCATTTACCCGTCCGAGCTCCATCTTCATCTGTCACTCACAAGCCATGCACTGCACTCTCCGAAACAACGAGATCTGTAGTAGGCACACTCAACGCACAAGTTCTTCATGCAGTTCTTATTCTACCGTTAGAAATAGCCTGTCCCAGCTACACTGTTCATAGAGAATCATTGGACACATTAACTTTTACAACGCTACAACATATCCTATAATGTTCTCAAGGACAGTTTGCCAACGGTGACAAATGCAGTGCGGCTGTCAAACCTTCAGCCTTATCCTTTCAGCCTCGCCCTTCAGCTGCTCTTCAGCGCTAGAGATTGCAGTGCAGACGACGTAATTATCGAAGACATGTCCCCATTCTGTCGATGATGAAGCATCTGCTATTGGTCGTACCCCTGCTGTCCCTCATCCATTCAGCCTAGCGTGGAATCCGTAAGACTGCTCGTCCGCGCTAGGAATTGCAGTGCAGTTTAAGCTGAGGCCAGGCTGACCGCGAAAGCGCGGTATCCAACCACGTACAAGATCAGCCTTGTGTAAACCGCTCTTGGGCGCTAGAGATTGCAGTGCAAAGCGCTCGTTGATGAGCATCTTGGCAATGAAGTTTTCCGGTGAACAAACTTCAGGAGGACTCTTACTACTGGCCACATACCTACATGTCCTCGTGCGCACAGCCAATGATAGTCATACATCAGCTCGTCCGCGCTAGAGATTGCAGTGCAACTTTGGCTTGCAGCAGCTCGTCGCTACTGCTAGCCGTGGAGTGGACTCATATCCTCCCGTGCATACATCCTAGTCACATACCCTCTCGTCCAAGCTAAGGATTGCAGTGCACATGTATGCTTTGCGTCGACAAATTATGCCTTTGTCTTCTTCCTACACATTTTATGTCTACTCAACTTCCTATTCGCGCTAGAGATCGCAGTGCATGCTTAAGTGTCGTGTGTCGTCCAAGGTTGCCCATTCGATATCCATCCGTATACCACCACCAACACCACTAATAAAGTCTTCAGCTCATCAGCTCGTTCAGCTCAACCTCTCAGACCTTGTTCACCAGGAAAAATGGCAAGAAGATATTCATACTGACGTCAAAACGTAATCCATTATCACTACTAGTAGCCCTCCCTCCCATCATCACCTCTCCCTTCCCCCATCCACCTCACCATCTCTCCTCCCCTCCTCAGCCCTCAAATCCTCCCGACTCCCCTGTCCCCTAATCCCCCTCCAAAGCCCACTCAGCGTACTAAGCGCACTCAAACTCCTCCCTCTGCCAACCCTCCTCCCACCACCCGGCGTCCTCTGTCCAGCATTACCACCACCAGCACCATCCTCACCATTCGCACTATCCCTCGTCCGTCTTCTACTCAACGGCTCACCAACAACTAGACCCGCATCTCCACCTCCACCTCCACCCATCATACCATCTTCCCCCTGTCCCAATCCATCTCTATCTCTATCCCTCGCAGCCAACGCAAGCAAACTCTCCTTCCTCCTAACACTACCCCCCCGTTTCAAATCCTGAACCATAGTACTCAGACTCGTACTCAGCGGACTCGCCAGTAACGGACCCCCCGCAATACTATTCCTCGCACTTTGAACCCTATCACTGGTTCTCAATCTCCTGAGCCCCATACCCGATCCCGGCGTCGTGGGGACTTCATTCGACGATTTGCCCCGCGTAGGCGTGCTAGGTGGGGGGAGATGGGTGTCGGAGACTGAGACTAAGGGTGCGGGTGCGGCTTCAGAGGGGAGGACGGGGGTGGATGTGTGCCGGTTTAGGGGTGGGGTGCGGTGGGTGGGTTCGTTGGGGTGGGACCAGGGGTTTGCGACGAGGGAGGAGATTATGTCGGCGGTGGCGGGGCGGGTGGGGTTTGGTGGGGTGGAGGGGTCGGTGGGGGTGAATGTTATGTTTGGGGTTGAGGGGCGTGTGTCTTCTTCGGTTTCGTCGTGGTAGCGGCGTTGGACGGATGCGGGTGGGGAGAGTGCCCGTGTGGTTGAGGAACGGCGTGTACTTCCAGCGACCTCTTCGCTGGGCTCGTTGATGGCGTCTGTGTAGGTTTCGCCGGCGAGGTGGATGGCGTCTTCGGGCTCTGGGTCGTGGTCGGAATCTGAGTCCTCATGGTTTGATGGACGGCCGCTGGTGATGAGCCAGACGCCGAAGAAAGTCAAGGCGCATCCGCCGACGAATTTCCCAGCGTCTTCTCCTGAGGTTCGTTCGAAGTCGCGGTAGAGGACTGCAGATCCGCCGATGACGGCAAGTGTGAAGAGGACGAACTGGACGGGGATGACCTGCGTCGCGTCGAAGCGCTGGAGAGCTCGGTTGACGTATTTGATCTGCATTACTGCTGTGCCGACGAGGATGGCTACCAGGAGATAGAAAACGGGGAAGGTGATGGCGCGCCAAAGCGTGTATGAAAGTAGCGAAGCAACGCCTTTGGTAGACAACGCTGTGTATCCGCCTAGAAATCGTTAGTATTCATCTTCAGGCAAGATCATGCCAATGTCTGATACATACCAAACAACCCCACAAGTCCCAAATCAATCAAGATATTCTTCTCCCCATACCGATTACTCGCCACCATCAAGCACGCAATAACCCCCACCGTAATCCCTAGATACGTCTCAAATTCCCACCTTCTGATCAAATCCCAGATCTCTCCCGGGCCCAACTTGGGATTATTGTCATTCGCCGAAAGCACAACAGTAACCGCGCCCCCAACAGCAATAACAACACCCAGGGCGTCTCTCTTGCGAAAAGGCTCCTTGAGCATAAACGGCGCGATGATACAATTCGAGATAAGCGCAACGACACCAAGGGGCGAAACGATAGACGCAGGCGCGAATCCATATGCGAGGAAATTCCCCGCCTCGCCGATTGTCATGAGGATGATGCCGAACCACCAATACGGCGATTTGAGATACGACGTCTGCTTGAACACCTCCTGCTTGGCCGACTCAGCACTGTCTTCTCTTCCCACAGCCGGTCTCGTATCCCGTGGTATCAACGGATCGTTCTCGGACGCCTCGAAGATATCGTCTTCCTCGCCATTACTTCTCCGTCTCCGCTGCTCAACCATGCCCTCACTCCTCCTATGACTCAACCCCATCTTCTGCACCTCCTCTGCCAATCTCCCCGCATCGTCCATGCCCGCCTTCCGCCTCTTCCTCTGCCGTTCTTTCTCGTGGAATTCGCGGTCTAGCCGTATGTGCGCGTATCGCTGCATGTTTAGTGCGAACGAGATGAGCACGTTGCCTATTATGGCGGTGATGATGCCGATTAGACTGCTCCAGTTCTCTGTGTATCCGCCGCCGCCTCCTCCGCCTCCGTGGGCGTCTTTCGATATCCATGATAGCGCGGCGTAGGGTACGGACGTGGATGTGGGTATTAAGCTTTGTAGTGCTGTCGCTGGGCCTGCAGCGACGGGGTGGCTGGGTGGTATATGCATCGTTATCGCCGTGGGATAGGAATTCTCGAGGGAGCTCGTCGTCTAAGCGATAGCTGCGTCTGCGCGTCGTCACGTATCGCCGCTCGTCCTCGTGGAAGCTCGTTCGTCGGGGGGTGCTTCTTCTCCGTTCCCTCGGTTCTATTCGTTTCGTATCGTAGATTGCGACAAAGAAGCTATGTACAACGAAGGGCGTCCAACGAAGGCAGTAGTACAACGAAGGCACAAGAAATGGAGCAACAATAATTATATGCGACCAAGGATACAGGGCGGTGACAACATGTTGTTTTTGCCCAGAAGTTTCGGCGGTGCTACAGAGTCGCGGCCCGTCCGTGGCTGCAAAGTTGGGCTTGCTTGCTTGGGTGGTCGGCTTGGAGCTGGTGCCGTATGCCGCGCGACATTTTGCAGGGTTCACTGACGCTGGCCTGCGCTAGCCGTCACCGTGCATGGTGGATCCGTCGACTCCGGACGACGCACGAATATCACGGGGATGGATCTCATCAACATACTTGGGAAGTAGAGGTGTTCTTATTTGAACGCTCCTATCAGCTGCAGTACTTTCACCCCTGACACCACGAGGCAAACATGCGACAACCCTTCTTCTCGCGCTTCTGCAGCGCGATAAGCAAAAAGCGCCTCTGCTCCCTACACTGGTCAAACTGTAATCACCAACACTCGTCATAGAACGACCTCGAAACCGCAACACAAAAGTATCATGGAATTTTCATGAAAATACTCATTTTGAGATATAATGTACAATATCACACGAACTAGATGTCCATCTGGAATTAAGAACCCTCGTGCAGATACCATCTCGCCAGCCGAGGTGCGAATTGATACCCATTGACACTTGGCCTGATACGCCACCGATGAATGCAAACGCTATCCTTATGCTTTTTTAGAATCCGATATCGTGTCCTTCAGTCTGGTATGCTTCAAGCAAGAGACATCTGCGCCTCTCCGTTGGTGGCCTCTGCAACGCCATCGGCATCCTGCTCCATGCTCTCAGCGACCTCGTCAGGCTCAGCGGCAAGAAGTCTGATACGAGCTTCGACCGCCTCTTCGCCGACGACAGACTCTTCGACCTGCGCCTTGCGGATGAAGACAGTCTGCCAGCGCTTACCCCACGCCTTGATGAGCTCGACTTCCTCTTCGGTGAGCGAGCCATTGGAGGACTTCTCAATCAGAGTGTCAGCGGAACCCTCTGCGACACCACGCATCGAGTCTTCAATGTACTTGAACAGCTCGCGAGCGTTGTCACGGTCCTTGGCGAGGGTGGCTTCAACCATCTCGATCTGTTCTTGAGGAAGGCCCTTCTGGAGGCGGGCAGACGCGATCTGACGGTTGCGGTTGGTAACCTTGGCGACTGTGTTGCTAACCATCTCAAAGACCCAGCTCTCGGTCAGAGCTTCACCAGCTCCCATGTGGCTACCGAAAACCCACTGAACGACAGTCATCGGCGCAAGAATAGTATAGTTGAGCAGAATATCGATGATGCGGACCGCAACACCAGGCTGGTCTTTCCAGTACTCGACGACGCTTGCAACGATCTGGCGACGTGCGACCTCGTTCTGCGAGAGCTCCAGTAGCCTGTCCTTGCCGCGTTCAATGCAAGACAGAACGTGGGACAATGATTTCGCTCCCAGTCGGCAGATGGCGGTGACGAAGGCGTCAGTCGAAGGGACGAGGACTTCGGTAATGCCCTGTTCAAGAGCCTTCTCGTGAATGCTGTCGATAGTGACTTGGATCTCTTCGGCGGTAGCCTTCTTTCTGAGTTGGCTCAGGAGCATCTGACCTTCAGCAGCGTAGGGGGTTTCTGGGGTATTGTTAGCGGGATGGATTTTACATGCGGAGTATACATACGTTGGTTGTCGTATTTGAAGTCAGGGCTGTTGTCTGCATCTAGACGCTCAGGAATCATGGTGTGCATCGGCTCCGGCAGCGTTGATCGGATGCGCTTGGCAAAGGACAACCTTATCTCCTTGTCCAAAGTCGCAAGAATGAAAGCCTTCTTCGGGTGCAGGTTAGACAGCTCGAGATCCTCAAGCCTGAAGTTACGTTAGCGCGGATCCACAAGCAAAGAGAGATGAACATACCACTCAGTCCACCTCCATCGGAACTCGAAGTTGCTGAGATGGTGGGAGAACCAGTCGAGGAATCGGTAGCCTAGCTCGAGATCCATCATGGGCAGGTTCTTGTAGATGGTACGGATGGCACGTCCGAGAGACGGGGCAATAGCAGCAGGCGCGACCTTGCAGCACTGTGTGATGAGCGCATGGTAGTAGACGAGCTTGTGTTCCGCGCTAGGCAGCTTGAACAGTTGCGAGAAGATGGCATCGATGATCATATCTTCTGACTTGTACTGAATCTTGTCGCCAACCAGCTCACGGAACTTGTCGAAAGGTGAACCGCGCTTAGCGAAGATGTCGACGGACCAGTAGCAATCAACATCGACAAGGAACTTGGCCACCATTTCACGGTTGAAGTCGAGCTGGTTGATGGTGTCGACAATGGCATCCCGGACAAGGGATGAAGCAATGTCGGTGGTCTTGGGGACGGTGTCAACTTCCTGATCAGCGAACAGGGAGAAGTACGCCTCCGGGAAGACTGGTCGTGGGCCAGGGTTGACTGGTGACGGGATGGTGAAAGTCGGGAAGGCGTGAGTCTGAGGAGCCGTGGGCAGGGCGTCTTCTTCCTTGGCATCCGCCCTACGCAAAGCCTCGAGGTCGATGCGTGGAAGGCATCTCAGCTCGAAACCAGACTCGGCTTCAGCTGACAATTGTGCTTGAAGAAGGCCAATGACGCTGTGGTGGTCTACCGGCTTCGACTCGAAATCGCCGACGTAGGAGTGGATAAGGCTTTCAATTGGAACCGCATTGCTTGCCACGATACCGGTGTTCTTCAACAGTTGTTGCGCTTGTTCGTGGAAACGCTCTCCCCCAGCGACGATGGCGTAGGGAATGGTAAGAAGGATGATCTTGACGAGTTCTATACCGACAACCTAGCACTGTTAGTAAATATCCTACATCACTGCCTGAAGATCTCACATCGTTCTCGTTTGCACTCTGAAGGTCAACGACTGTATCGAAGAGTTGTCCCAGGAAGGTGAAGACGCCATCATCCTCATAGAGCGACTGCAGGCACGCGAAGAACCTCAGAAGCAACTTGAACTCTTTCCACTCGCCCGCATTCAGCGCCTCCTGTGCCCGGTCTCCGACGCGCTTCATGGCCTCGATGGTGATTTGTGGCTTGACATCGTTGGCGTAGTAGGCGACGGCTGCGACGAACGGGATCTTGAAGGGCTGCTCGATGATCCTAAGACAGTTAGTGAAAGTTGAATTGATGGGGGGATTGTCTCTGCTTACAGCTGTACCAAGACATCGAAGAAGTCGGAGCGGAGACGCTCATCGTCAAAGTGTTCTCCAAAGTATTTCGCGATCTCGATAGCCTCGTCCTGTGGGAGCTTGGTGGAGCTGGCAATGTTCAAAAGCAGTCGGCGCAGCTTGGGGAACGGCGGCTCTTCGTATCGGCGACGTGGGCCTCCATCATCGTTACGGCGGCGCTGGGGTCCGCGACGGTCATCACCGCGGTAATGGTTATCGTCATCTGCGCGACGCTGTTAGTACAGTGGAAATGCTAGATGCACAAGCCTGTCCATGGGGTAGGGAGGATATTCTCGGCCTCGATTTGATGCCCATCACAGCCACCGAATCAAAGAAGCTATCCAGCCCACCCATGCAGCTTACGCAATCGGTTGTAATAGGACATGTGCAGACTCACCATCACGGCGGCGCTTGTTGTTTCCTCGATAGTTTCCGCGATCGCGCCTGTCATCACGTCGGTCCTCGCGCCTATCGTCGCGTTCTTCTCTGACGTCTGCGTCCGCCATGGTTGCGACCAAGACTGCGCGTGCCTTCTCTTCTAACGTCTCCGGAGAATCTTCCCTCAGTTGCGACGGGATTCGTGTAGAGTTGGCGCCGAGGTCGTCGTGATCGTAATATACGGGCTGACGCGGGGGGTAAAAGTCGCCGTGTCGATGATTATACACACGGTTGTGGAATGGGGCGGTTCGGGTGCGATGTTGGCGGATGGTTCGCGATAGTGAATCGTCGAGTTGGCGCGGAAGTCGCACTGGAGCTTGCGCATCGAAAGGGTTAGCGGCATTTGCTCCCGTTCCAGGCGTATCTTGGCGCTCGGTCCATGCACTCTCGACGTCAACGTCCATTGCCAAATCATTGAGTGGTGAATTATCCCGAACGAGGTATTGCTGCGCTTCCTCATCAGTCAACTTTAGTAGGGCCATGCGATCTGCCGACATGAATGTGCAATCCATGTCTAGGTTATTGATATTGCTGCTTTGACCGTGATGTTGTTAACTGTTGGTTTGCACCTGACTACCTCTTGGATCAAAGATGGGACTGTAAAAGAGACAGACGTAAACGACAAGATGAAGACTCTATATACAGAACCAGCACGCATACTGAAGCTAGCAAGGTGAGTTTGTCAGTGAAGGTAGGCCATGTTCACCTGAAAACCCTACGATTATCTCCCGGTGAAGGCAAATGGTGATTGATACGGATCCAGATCGATCATCCCGACGTCTCAAACGAAGGTTTCAATGCACTGGCCGAAGTCTGGATGTTACGAACTCTGAAAAGAACCTGGAAAATCTCACAAAATATTTCACATCTCACAAGACCGAGAAACTGTAAACTGTGAAAGGAATCTCCGTTATAGAAAGTATGCTGAGAGGTGGGCGAATAGCAGGATAGTCATTGTCCATTGGACATTCGTTCCGCTGCAAATGCGCAGTGCCTCGCTCTAGTACTTGTCCGGAGCTAGCCATCCATTGACCAGCCCGTATGATCCCATCCTAGGGATAGCATTCCCAAGTTCATAAAAGCCTCATCGCCCGATGCGCAGCCCGCCGAACTCATCTTAACAGAAAGAAAACTCCCGCATGCAACCCAGGTGACGCATAGTAACCATTGTTGAAGCATCGGAATCGGATGAGCGAGACCCTTCCTTCGTATCCCATACTCAATACATCCCGAATTTTGCCCGTTCCTCATTTCCTTCATAGTTGCAACCTGCTGCACCCATTCGTCATCTCAAAGGGGATCGAAGGAACATCATTTGCCGTGCCGGTCCATTGATCATTTCGCGTAAACGGGGATGCCAACAGTCCCCAAAGAAAAGCAAGCCAGGTCATTCTTTGTAAAGGTGAATGTCGGTATCATTTCAGACGCGCTCATATAAAGCAGGAAAGGGTGTGCTCCTCGTAGTATACACCTGATAAAACCGACGCCCAATTGAGACTCCATTTTGCATCTCTCCGGACGGAAAAGCTTTGTGCTCCGGTCCAGAGAGGATCAGAAGCCGCCGCATGAATGAATGGTATCGTGTCGTGTGATAGCAGAGGGCTTAATCCAGCCTGGCTATCATCTGATCCCGCGTTAATGGCTTGAAGTTCGGCGATTCGAAGTCGAGGCCACGGGCGGCTAGTGTCGCGCGGATGTGCTGCGGTACCAGCTGGTTGTTGAGGTGAGGAGCGATGGACAATTCTGGAAACATTAGACTTTGCATCTCGTAGGGCTCGAAACAAACTTACCGTGGTGAGTGAAGTTGTACAGCTCAGGCATATCACGAGTGGCTCCGTTGGGGTGACGCGAGTCTGGGAGACGCGTGTTCGGGTCCCTCAGCTCGTCAAAGAAGGGGTGTACCATGGCATCGATGGCCGAAAGACGCTGAGTTGGCGTGTACTCGAGGAGTTTGGAGATCAAATCGATCGCGTTGGGATCAGCCTTCCGGAACACCTAGTCCATGTAAGTAAAAATCACGCGGCTACCGGGACGCATCGCTAAACATACCTTACTGAACGGGTGAGGCTTAATCTGGGGGAACTTGTGCTCCATGTAGTTCGGGTTCATGGTGCGGATCTGGTCGCGGGTGGGCGTTCCTAGAACCTTGATGATCTCCACCAGCTGGTCGATACCTGACTCTCCCGGGAACAATGGCTGTCCAAGCATGAGCTCCGCCATGACGCAACCCGTAGACCAGACATCTGCACAATATTAGCACGGGCTCCCGCTCATTACAGCACAACACATACCGATCTTGGTAGTGTAGTTTGTCGCTCCGAAAATCAGCTCAGGCGCACGGTAGTACCTGGAGCAGATGTACGAAACGTTGGGCTCGTTCTCGACCAAGATCTTGGCGCTTCCGAAATCGCACAGCTTCAGAACACCGGTTGAGGGGTCTAGCAGGAGGTTCTGGGGCTTGATGTCCCTGTGGCAGATACCCTGCGAGTGAATGTAGGCGAGCGAGCGGAAAAGCTGGTAGATGTACAGCTTGACTTCGAGGATGGGCATAACCGACTTCATCTTGTTGAAGTAGCGCGAAGCACGGTACACGGTCTCGGGAACGAACTCAAGCACGAGATTCAGGTACACCTCGTCTTTCTGTGGCTGAAACGGTTAGCTACACGAAATGCACGCACGCGCTTGCTTGCAGACACGTACCCGCTCGCCGTTGTTGTAGAAGAAGGCCTTGAGCTCGACAATGTTGGGATGTCGGACAATGCGCATAATCTGGAGTTCGCGGTTCTGCGGGGGTCAGCTGGGGCTGCATGTCATGATGGCGCGCAGACGCACCTTGAAGCGCTTGTCTTGCAGGACACGCTTGATGGCCGCATCTTCACCACTAGGCGACAGTTTGGTCTGGAAGACGACGCCGAAAGAGCCGTTGCCGACAATCTTGCACTGCGTGTATGCGAGGTCCTTGTAGTCGCCGGTCAGGCCGTCCTGGACCTTTTCGCGGATAACTTCTGCGGGCGGGTGAGCATGAGGCCAATTACGCGGCGGGATCACGGGGGGCACTTACCACCCATTCTTAGCGATGAGAAGGCCGATGGCCGGTTCTGGCTCATTGTTTGGTGTTATGCGTGTGGGAGGGGGTCCGGCAGCGCTGCGCGGATTGCTGGGGAACTGGAGGGCGGGCGGCAGGGGAGTTGAGTGTGGGCGAGGAGTGGTGTCGGGCGGGCTGAGGCGGAGCAGATAGGGTTGTAGGCGCGAGGTCGAGTGTCAAGAGGGCGTGGTCCCGCGTGCCGTCTGTGCAGTACCAGGTGACGCTTGTTGTGGCTGACGGAGCTAAGGAACAAGGAAGGCGCAGGTCGACCCCTCAGCAACGATGCTCGGGCGGCAGTCACAGCAGGGCGTGGGAAGGGGGTGAAGGAGAATTGAGGGCGGAGATGGAGAGCTTGTGAAGGTGCGAGGAAAGGCGACGATGGGGTTGAGTGACGGCAGTGCTGGGGATTAAGGGCGGGGCACTGCTAGTGCGAAATTGGGTGCCAACGTGATCAGAAGGCCTGCAATTCACCTACTTGTCAGCGCAGACCAGCCCAGCGGCGTCTAAGCTGCTCGAGGGAGCAGCGTACAGTAATCGCCCGGTGCAGGAATCACGGACCTGCAGGAAACGGGGGGATGGGATAGGATGCAGATGATAGCTTCTCGTGGAGCCTTATAGTAATACACATACACAGGGCTGCTCTGGCGGCGGCAGGAGCATGCGAGCGCGCCTGCTTGAAACAGACGTCAGCACACGACAGTGAGTGTGCTCTGCCAGCCGTCGCCAGCGGCCTCACATACGACATCGCCAACATTCAACATGACCATTGCGTCTGCAGCTGCGGACGCCGGCCTGCACGTGAGGCATCAGATTTCTTCCCAGCACGCCGTCATGCCGCCTGAAATGAGCTGCACCCACTTGCTCGCTGGCGCGTGGCTGAGACGCACTCCAATCATGGCCGGGCCTTGCTGTGCTTATACTAACCTGGCCGTACGAGCTGTGAATACCTGCCCGGCGATAGGCTGCGCGGCTCTAGCAGGCAGTGAGTAGCTGCTATGCTGCGTTTGACATGCGACGACCGTTCCCATTGAGACGTTACCAGGCCATCGCCGCCGTTACCAGGCCATCGCCGCCGTTACCAGGCCATCGCCGCCGTTACCATGGCCTGAGCAAGACCCTCTTTCCTCTCCAGGGCCCACGACGCCTCTGCCTTTAGCGAGCGTCGCTCAACACTGTGCGAATGCTCGACTCCGTCAGCCAATTCCATGCTGCGGACGCCTGAGCGCCCGCGGCAGCAATTTCATGCACCGCGCTGTTCGAGCAACCACAACCTTGTCTTTGTTTGCACCACCGCCCGTCAATCAAAGCCGCCGCCGCCGCACTTTCGTGTCGACGACGTACCAGGACACTCGCGAGAGTACAGGGGTCGGTAGCCGCAGAAAAGTCTTCCGACTGGCGTTGAAGAAGCTGATATCCGACTCAACAATATGGCTTTTTCCAAACTCTGACCGCACCCTTGCGGCCTGCTGCAAAACCAAGTCCCCCTGCACGCCGCCCTGTCGCCTCGTCCTGCTGCATCGTCATTCTGCTCGAGGCCCCGGCCACGCCCTCGTGGCCTGCAGCTCCACTTGGAGGGCAGCTGATGTTCTCTCGCGCCCTGGTCCTGGCGCCCCCCTCTTCGTCTACAGCCGAATGCCCGGGCGACCCAGAGGCGTGGCGTGTTATTGTGGTGCATATCCTTTCACAGCCGCCCAGCCCAGCGACTCACTATGCCCTTCTGGTCTCGTGAAATGCCACTCCACCGTTTGTGCACGCTTCCATCTTGACCGGCAGCCAGCTGCACCAAGCGGATGCGCATCAAGTCAACGACACCGCTGCTCTCGGATGTCCAGGGCCCACTGGCCGGTGTGAACCACTGCTCGGTGCGGGTTACACACGCGCACCTTTAAACCCGAATCGGCCGCACTTGCAGCAACCGACATCGTTGCAAACTATTCATGACGCTTGTGTTCCCCTCTTCGCCTTTCCCGCACTTGGTGCTGCAAGGCACGTGCAAATCGCGCGCGCAACATGTTCCAGGCGCCGCCAACAGCCATGCCTCGAACGACGATGGACATCACGTACAAGTCCATCTGCAGGCTACTGAGATAGATCGGGCTGAAACAATTCCTACAGATTTTGCATTTGGCGCTTGCTGTGTGGGTAGGCTAGTCGAGCTACACTATCGATGCCCGACTGCCGCTCATACGTCAACATGCAGTGAGCATGCCGTTCGGAAATCCGACCCACCCTATTGGCTTTGATCATGTGACTTGAGGGCTCTTGACGGCGATATTCCCAGCCGCTGCAGACGACCGCTCGACCGTGAGAATGGCCAAAACCAGTGTGATGAGCCCCACTATTGCCGTCATTACTACCCATCCTCACCCGTTCCACTCACCAACAGTCTGGGTTCTCTTCGAGCCCGAGCTGGGCGCAAGCACACTC